TTTTACATATCAATGGTGACGACATCACTGGTGAAACTTTATACACCAGCCGTGTCAATATTTGCTCTGGAAAATGTCACCGAGTACGAGGACAAGCTTGCGTATTAAGAAAAGACTTTGTTGAACAAAGTCTTGGACTGGGATGACTCAATCTTAGGGTTACAAATGAGCACACAGTCCACCTGATGGTAATTGGTTGCTGTGGTCATAGACACCTAAATGTATCCTCGATTACGAATCAAAATGCTGATACGTTGTCACCCGTGAGTATAGCAGTCGCATTTCTACAACCACTAGACCAACGAGGCAGTCAAGTTATTCGCCTCCAGTCACTCCCATCTTGTGGAATTGCTAAACTTCTCATGTATCCCTTGGCGCATACTCAGGTGGACTCAGACTGAACTTAACGCCCTGGATAGAAAAGTCCGCACTACCGTGGCGTATCATAGGATGCATCATCCGAGATCGTCGGTAATGAGGCTGTATTTGCCGCTAAAACATGGTGGGCGTGGCTTCTTGAGCGTGCTCACCATGCATAATCGCGAAGTGTGCAGCCTCCGTCATTACTTCCTGGCGAGATCGGATAATCTATTCTATAATGTCGTCATTTATAGTTATAAAGGGCTTTCCCCTCTATCCTTAGCCAATGAGCAATGGCAGGACCCGGCGGCAGTACAGAGCATTTCCGACAAGGAGACCGTATGGAAGGAGAAAGAGCTCCATGGGAGGTACAACAGGGCTCTATATGAGCCCTTCGTAAATTCAGTCGCCTCCCTCCACTGGCTACGTTTCGGTGACCTTGTAACGTTTCCCCCTCCTTTCATAATAATAAATATATTAAATACTAAATATATTATATTTCTCTTTTATATTAAAATTATATATATATATATATATATATATATATATATATATATATATATATATATATATATATATATATATATATATATGACCAGGATAAATAAGATATGTTTTGATCTTTCTAAATGATCTTTCAAAAGGTTTAATAATAGGCCGTTTGTAATATTTATGGCATGATCGTCTTAGTTAGGACCCTTATTTACGTTGTGTTTGTTTTGTAACTTAGTTCTTTTAGGTGTCTTTTGGAAGAATGAATACTCACTAGAGCAATTGAAAGCTGTTGGTTGTGCTTTATATGTTAAGTGAACCCCGTTCACGAAGACAGGGCTCGAGAAAGGTTAAGAACACAAAACATCCTTATTCCACTTGTATCAGATTTACATTATTAATTTATTATTAATTATCCCTTCCCGCTCGGAAAAGGCTCAAAATATATCTATACAAAATACCCGATACAAGGGTTTCGCTCTCCTACATTTATTTAAAAAATGTAGGGGAGGCACACGGCCCCACACACGCCGTGCACGGTGAGCGCCAACCATTTTGATTGCACTCCCCGAAGGGAATGTTAATTCGGGAACTGGACCGTAGTCCACAGCAAAATAACTGGCGAACCAGTAAAAGAGGCTTGGCCCCTTGTTAGTGCGTAAGCACAAACATCGACCGAAGTCGCGCATGTCAATGCGTGTAAACGCCATACAGAATACGAACGAATCCAGCCACAGTGAATGTACATCACATGGTTTAGGCAAATAGGCACACTGGCCATAAAACCCTCCGTGAGCGCCACCACCTGCCAGCCCGCCGCTCCTGCAGAAGTGATGTAATGTGGCATCACCAACAGTTGCATGATCAGCACGGCTACTAGCCGCAGAGCGTGTTATGAGTCTACCGCTCACCTCAAGGGAATGGGGTCCCACGTTGTGGGCTTTCGGCCGCCGCAGCCTTGAGAGTCTCCTCAGATCCTCCCGCCAGCTACCACCCGCACGAGGCCGACACATATGCTCCATCAACCAAAACCACGGCAGATATAGCCAAAAGGCAGTTATTAGATAATAGTAATAATTCGCCATCAAAAAAGGGTTTGTGTCACTGACGTTGAGTATATGCATTTTCGATCATGTTTGTCTCACCCACCAACAAGTTGCCTTCAATCATTCAAAGGTGGGAAAGTTACAGAGATATAATATTATGTTGTTATATAAAACATCGTGGAGGGCAGACACCTATCGATTTTGGTAACAAAGTTTTCATTGTTGTTATATAAAAAATATCACCAACGTATCATAGTAGCACGCTACTAAGACGCCAATGAACAAAACTCCACGTATCATAGCGCTAATGCACTAAGACATGAAGTTGAGTATGCCTGTTACACTTAAAAGTGCTACCAAACACACTCATCATTCCAATCCGAAATATAGACGACGCATCGCTATGCGCTACTACGCCGCCCACAAACGGTATGGGTGTGCGATGTCCACGGGAAAGCCGTATTGCTACAACAAACCCGCTTACCACCGGCACTAAGATGATATGTTTAGGACACATCGGTTAGCGAGTCCAAGTTTACCTCGGACTAATTGCTCGTGAAGCAGCACACACGCCACCATAATATTCCTTTTGAAGTCCCTAATAAGGACTAGTCATTTTGCTACAGTACTAGGAGCAGTCGGTCACCCGACCACCCCATGCAATGCTTATGCATCAAGGAGACCTTCAATAATAATGCTTTTGTATCATAGACCTTACTTTCGTAAGTCATTCATATATAGGGTTCGAACCCACAAACCTACTATTGTAATGCATATTCATAAAGACCCTCTATAGTATTGCTTTTGTATCATAGACCTTACTTTCATAAGTCATTAATATATAGGGTTCGAACCCACGACCCTACTATTGTAATGCAATTTCATCATAGAGACCTTCTATAGTATTGCTTTTGTATCATAGACCTTACTTTCATAAGTCATTAATATATAGGGTTCGAACCCACGACCCTACTATTGTAATGCAAATTCATCATAGAGACCTTCTATAGTATTGCTTTTGTATCATTGAGTTTATTATCATAAGTCCCTAATATAGGACTAGTCATTGTGCTACAGTACTTCAGGCAGTCGGGCTCCCAACTACCCCATATATATGTACAACTGCAGGTATGTATCTCCGACAGCTCCTCCATACAAGACATCTATACATGAACACCTTCCATAACTTAGGAAACTTTTCTTTTATACGTGAACTCTTTCCTTAACTTAGGAACTTTCTTTTATACATGAACATGAACATGAACATGCTTTTGTATCATAGACCTTACTTTCATAAGTCATTAATATATAGGACTTCAACCCACGACCCCACTATTTTTATGCAAATTCATCATGAAGACCTTCTATAGTATTGCTTTTGTATCATTGAGTTTATTATCATAAGTCCCTAATATAGGACTAGTCATTGTGCTACAGTACTTCAGGCAGTCGGGCTCCCAACTACCCCATATATATGTACAACTGCAGGTATGTATCTCCGACAGCTCCTCCATACAAGACATCTATACATGAACACCTTCCATAACTTAGGAAACTTTTCTTTTATAAGGGAACTCTTTCCTTAACTTAGGAAATTTCTTTTATACATGAACTCCTTCCACAACTTAGGAAAATTTCTTCTATACATGAACTCCTTCCAAAACTTAACAAATTTTAACAAATTTTCTAATTATCTTATAAATGTTATTTATCTTTATTTTTGTAATATTCTCGACTTGTATTTCTATTATTTATCTTATTTTAAATACTTTTTTCAAGTTTTTAATAAATTTATTTATTATGAAAGACAATATTTTGCCTTTAATTTACTATGTTATTGGTCTAATGTCTGAAATGTATTTATATTAACTTTATGGTTATTAATGTAATTTTATTGTTTAATATATATCTTTTAAGACTATTTTTGACGCCCCTTTATATTGAATTTAATTATTAATAATAATATTGGGTCGTCACAACCTCTTCGGGGAAACCGAGGGTTTTCTCTGTGCAATACATGATCAGGTTATTAGGACCAGCTACTATCGGAAATAAATCCTAAAGGAGGGCACCGTCGACATCTGTCGAGCTTGTTGCCATCCCAGTGAGTCACTTAGGCATGTCATCTCCGGTTTTTCGGCGCTTTCTAACTCTGAGTACTTGCATACGCACAACCTAGCAGCCAGAATTCTACACCAGGAGCTCGCTCTGAAATACGGTCTCGTGTATCGGAAACTGCCTTATTATAAGTATTAACCGGAAGCCGTACTCGGAAAATTACCGCACCAGGCTCTACTGGGACCGGGCCATCATCACAAGCAGGACTATTCTTGCGAATAAACCTGATATTGTGCTGATAGACCGGGCACAGTCAAGGATATTTTTTGGTCGACATTACCATTCCGCATGACGAGAACCTCGTGAAAGCCGAAACAGGTAAGCAAACAAAATATCTGGACCTGGCTCACGAGGTGACCGACATGTGGGGTGGTCTGCCGACCGAAATTATTCCTGTAGTCGTCTCTGCGAACGGGCTAATCCCAGTCAGCCTCTCGGGTCATCTGAGGCGGCTGGGACTACGTGGCGGACTGCTCCAGGCTCAAATGCAGAAGGCGGTGCTCCTCGATACCGCCCGTATCGTCCGCCGGTTCCTTTCCCTTTCCCCCTAACCCTCGGTCGTTTGGTCTCCCCTGCCGAGGGCCTCCATCTGGTTGGGCTTTTATTTATTTATTTATTTTTATATTTAGTTTATGTTATTTATATTTATGTATATTTATCTTTTCATTTTCATTTATAATTATATATTTATAGAACCCAAGAAAGAAAAACCCGAGAAAACTATGTTGATACCCCATTATAATAATAATAATGGATGATGAAAAAAAAGATAGTGCGCAAAGGGCCGCTGCCTGGAGTTTGCCAGGGCGCGTCTGGAGCTTGCGCTGGACGCGACAGCATACGGGCCGTCAGCCGAGCGCGGGGTGTTGCAAGACCACCTAGCAGCCCCCCGCATCCATCATCCCCACCAGAAGGCTTGGTGTCGGCTGGGTCTTCTCGGACTTAGCAAGCGGCACCCGCCGCTGGTGGAACACGTCGCATGCGTTGGTCAAAATTAATGAATGCAAACGCACTGCGGCGTATTTTAGGGCAACAAGGGGGAAGAAACTGGATGTTTGTCGTATCGGGCTCGGATGCATCGCTTTTTTGCAGAGCTGGAGCCATCTCTATCCGTCACTGAGCAAAACCTGGCAAACCGAGTTCGGTTACATCCTGCGCTCCAACATATTTGGTGACGCCGAACTCGAACGACTACGATATGAGGCTATTCCTTCATCGAATGGAAATGCTACGGCTGGGAATGCGGCGCCACTAGATGCGCAACAAACTGCATATGTGGATGCCGCCGTCAACATTCCATTTGTGGCTAATTCAGATGATGATGGAATAGTCTCCCACAAACTAGAGAAAATGAGGAGCATATTGGAAGAGTCGATGCTGGAAATACGCAGCATGCCTCTCGAAAATCGACCGCGACTTCCCCGCATACCCCTTAGTAAGCGAAATCGGGCTGTCGTGCGGGCTCTTAACCCAATGCTGGTGACCTATTTGGAAGCCAGTGGGACCTTTGCGAGACGGACTCAATTCTTTTTTGGCGCCGCACTGGCAGTATGCCGTATTATTGGCGCCAACTTTCCGTGGCTGGACGTGCTACTCAAAAAAGTAGCGCCATCCCAGCCTGGAGAAAAAGAATTGAGGACCGTATCGCAAAGGCAAGGGCCCTTATCGGCAGACTGACAAGCTTCAGGTCGGGTAATAATAGACCGAGAGTTGTGCGCACAGTTAGAATGGCGTTTGATGGGACAAATTTTAGTTTGTCCCAGCCGGATATCACGCAAAAACTAACGGAGCGCATAGATGACCTGAAGCAAAAATCGCTGCTTGGGGAAAGCGGATTCACCGATTTACCGAGAGGTCAAGGCGGTTCAACCAGAATCGTCTCTTCCAGAGTGATCAGAAGAGGCTCTATAAATCATTGGAGCGACCAGAGGTATGTGGAGCGGGCCCAGGACCGGATCAGGCTGACACTGTCGCATTTTGGCGTGGCCTGTGGTCAGAGCCCGTAAACCACAGCGAGGGCCCTTGGATGTAAGTTGTGGCGAGCCAGAGTGCAAGTGTTACGCCTATGGACCCCGTCACCATAACGCCTGAAGACGTGGCTGAGGCAGTCCGTAGGACTCCGAACTGGAAAAGTCCGGGACTGGACGGGCTGCATCATTACTGGCTGAAGGGGTTCGTAGTGTGTCAAGCTATGCTCGCCCGACAGTTACAAGAGGCTCTCGATCAGAAGTCGCTCCCGAGCCTCTTCACTACTGGGATCACTCATTTGGTTCCTAAAGATCAGGATACCACAGACCCGAGCAAATACCGCCCCATCACGTGTCTACCCACCATATACAATACACTGACATCCATTTTGAGCGCGAGAATCACTCGTCACCTGGAGCTAAATCAGGTTATGTCACGCGCTCAAAATGGATGTCGGGGGCGGTGGTCGTGGAACCAAGGAACCACTCCTCATTGACGCGGTCATTGGCAAAGTGGTGAAACACAACCGTCGGAATTTCTCCGCCGCCTGAATAGACTACAGAAAGGCATTCGACTCGGTGCCACATACATGGCTAAAGAGAGTCCTCCAGCTGCACAAAATTGACTGTACAGTTGGAGACTTCCTCGAGCAGTGTATAAGGCAATGGAGTACGATCCTTTGCTATCTGGGCGAGCGGATGATGGCTGCGAAGAACCACATAAGGATAAGAAGGGTTATCTTCCAGGGCGATTGTCTGAGTCCAATCTGGTTTTGACTCTCTCTGAATCCTCTCAGTACTTTACTAGAAGGCTCCGGGAGGGGATTTCAGCTTCGGAAAGGAGGTACAAAGGTGACCCACCTTTTATATATGGATGACCTCAAGTTATTCACCTCCAGTCGCTCCCATCTTATGTAATTGCTAAACATCACTTGTGAATTTAGCAATTCTACTGGAATGGAGCTGGGAACGGATAAATGTGCGGTCCTCCATGTTGAAAGGGGAAGGGTTGCTAACTCTGAGGGAATAGACTTATCTATGCCCGTCAACTTAAGGACCCTTTCCGAGGCTGAAACATACCGATACCTGGGTATGTCACAGAACATCGGTATCTTTGAGGCTGGTATGAAACAGTCAGTTTGCGACGTGTTTATGGTATGCATGCTTGACCAAAGTGCTTAACAGCCTTTTGTCCGGTGTGAATAAGATACACGCATATAACGGTTGGGTTATGCCTGTCCTCATGTATACCTTTGGCATACTCAGGTGGACCCAGACTGAACTTAACGCCCTGGATAGAAAAGTCCGCACTACCACGAGGTCCCATAGGATGCATTATCCGAGATCGTCGGTAATGAAGCTGTACTTGCCGCGAAAGCATGGTGGGCGTGGCTTTCTGAGCGCGCTCACCATGCATAATCGCGAAGTATGCAGCCTCTAATTACTTCCTGGCGAGATCGGATGATCCATTCTATAATGACGTCATTTCTAGTGATAAAGAGCTTACCACTCTATCCTTAGCCAACGATCAATATCAGGACCCAGCAGTACTTAGCATTTCCGACCGGGAGACCGTATAGAAGGAGAAGGAGCTCCACGGGAGGGTACTACAGGGCTCTACATGAGCCCTTCATAGATACAGTCGCCTCTCTCAACTGGCTACCTTTCGGTGACCTCTTCGGGGAAACCGAGGGTTTTGTCTGTGCAATAAAGAATCAGGTTATTAAGACCAACAACTATCGGAGATACATCCTAAACGATGGCACTGTCGAGCTTGTTGCCATCCCGGGGAGTCACTTAGGCATGTCATCTCCGGTTGTTCGGCGCTTTCTAACTCTGAGTACTTGCACAGGCACAACCTAGTAGCCAGAATTTTACACCAGGAGCTCGCTCTTAAACACGGTCTCGTGGACAGAAAATTGCCGTATTACAAGTACTTGCCGGAAGCCCTGCTGGAAAATGACCGCGCCAAGCTCTACTGGGACCGGACCATCATCACAGACAGGACTACTATTGCGAATAAGCCTGATATTGTGCTGATGGACCGGGCAAAGTCAAGGATATTTTTGGTCGACTTTACCATTCCTTATGACGAGAACCTCGTGAAAGCTGAAACAGACAAGCAATCAACATATCTGGACCTGGCTAACGAGGTGACCGACATGTGGGGTGGTCTGCCAACCGAAATTATTCCTGTAGTCGTGTCTGCAAACGGGTTAATCCCAGCCAGCCTCTCGGGCCATCTGAGGCGACTGGGACTCCGTGACGGACCGCTCCGGGCTCAAATGCAGAAGGCGGTGCTCCTCGATACCACCCGTATCGTCCGCCGGTTTCTTTCCCTTTCCCCCTCCACTTCCACTCCACTTTCCACCCTCGGCCGTTTGGTCTCCCCTGCCGAGGGCTTCCATCTGGTTGTGCTTTTATTTATTTATGTATTATTTATTTATTTATGTTAGTATATTAAATATATATTTAAGTATATTTATTTTTCCCTTTATAATTTATATTTATCCAGCCCAACCTGATGTAATTACTTTATTAATAACCCCAAATAATAATAATAATAATTGTCTTTGTCTTTGAGTTTAAAGCGAGATTATTATTTTTAATTATTTATTTTAATGAGAGCGGCCACCATACGGTTCGCGGGGTTTTACTTAATTTCTACATTAAGTGACGCTGACATCGATGGTTCTTCAGGTGAAGATGGGAAATTAAGGAAATTAATAGGATAAGAAAATATATGGATATACATAAACTTCGGGTTAGGGAATTGAAATTAAAGAGATGTGTAAACTTTTAATGCATAATAAATCGTAGCGTTTTCGTGTCAACAAGCATTATATCGTTAATTATGATTTTTTTTCTCACTTTGTTAAATCTATAAGACATCTGCGTGGTTTTTGTAACCGTTTTTATGTTAAAAAGTTCTTGACGTGACATTATATTTATCAACAAAATATAACAAAAATGCTGGGTGCGGACCGCTAATTCTAAAGTTCGTGGGTTCGAATTCGCCATTCGACTACTGTCGTGAACCACTCCAAACATAAGTATTTCACGCTTAACGAGAGTGGTTAAATGGAATTTTAGTATTCTTGATAGCATTACTGGTATTCAAACAGAAGAAAAAACAAAAAAATAGTTTTTTTTAGCTTACATTTATCTCTAAATAAGCATTTTATGAAACCGCCGTAAGTAAAATAAAGTTACAGTATTTATGTGTTCCACCTCTGGACCCAGGTTTTCTTTCATTTTTGAAAGGGTTAGTGAGCAATCACTCTACCTCGCACTTTCAGTGCGTGTAAGCGTGAAGGTTACGTTAGTTTTTTCGTCAATGCTGAACAGAAGCCTCCCTCATAGTTTGCCTCATATTTGACTTGAATGGATTTTGCCATAGTTGTAACTTCAAAATATAAAACTCCCGCAGTTTTTGTTATTTTTAATTGTTATCAGGAAGATGCCGCAGCCCATAACCTTTTTTAATTTCCCTATGTCGCCTCTTACAACACCCACGGTACGATATGGGGTAGTAGATATTCTTACACCGCCACTATACAGTTTGCAGCATTATGGTGCTATTTTATCCTAGTATTCCACGTGAGTGTGGTCCGGTCAAGCCGAACTAATTGCACTGAAGCACAGTGCACATTTTTATTTAGCATTTAGGGCTTCATCACCACTGACCACCAGGTGGGATTGTGGTTGAGCACTAGTTTATGATAAATAAAAAAATCGTGTATAATATATCAGCAGCGTAAATCTATCTATAGTGAACCAAATCTACATAAGAAATACCTTTTGACGTTTCACATTAATTATTCCGCAATAACGTTGCACAAGCGTACTCACATGATTTAATATAACCTTTTACGTAAATCCGAAGAATTATGAAGTTATCATCTATATTTCATTACAACGTGTATAGTTTTTTATCACTAATTGAAATTTGAATTTTTCAAACAAAGCAAAATATTAAAAAATAACCACTATTCATTTTTTTTACTTGACGTCGTTTCAATGAATGAATGATCTGGTGAAAAGCTTGGATACGTTAAAAAACATAAAATAATTCGTTGATGCTCATAACATTGATTAATATCTTTTGCGGTGCTGGTATGCCATTGTCAATTTTCTTTTAAAATTCGATTTAATTAAGTTATACTACCAAAATACACGTGGACTGAGAACTAAAACACATAGCTTTCTTCAAGGAGTACTTTGTAATGATTACGATATAATTGTACTCACAGAAACGTGGTTAAACGACTCCGTGTCAAGTGGTGAGCTATTCGACGAAAGGTATGTGGTTTATAGAAGGGATAGGAGTAATGCCAAATTAATTCACAAAAAAGAAGGTGGTGGTGTTCTTGTGGCGGTTTCGAGACGGATACCTTCTAAACGTATGTACAGTTGGGAATCTAAACTTGAAGACCTCTGGGTCACACTGGAAATTCCGATATCACATTCCTTGCGTCGAGTGGCTCTCTGCGCAGTGTATTTGCCACCTCCAGTGCACAGTTCAATGTTGAGTCACTTTATCGAAAGTTGTAGTGTTGTACTTGATAATAGTGATTGTTGCTGTATTTTAGGTGATTTTAATTTGGCATGTATTGATTGGAGTTTGGTGGCGGATACTTCCTATGATTATAAGGCGCCGGGTTTATGTCAACCACTGTTGGATTTATTAAATTTATATGAACTCAAACA